TACTAAGCCTTTTAAAATTTCGCACGTGGAGGATATGAAACGAAATAATTTTTTTTAGGTTTTATGTATGCAGTAGAATAACCAAAAAATCATAAATCACTATATAGATATCATAGAATTCCACTAAAATTATCAAGCTAAGTAACTAAGCTGTATTTCGGCCAAGTGGTTAGGATGCTCGACTCCCAATCTGAGGATCGCGTGTTGGCCCAAGAGTTGGCGGTGGGTGGTGATGATTAGCTGCCTGCCCTTTAGTCTTACAGTCTTACACTGCTAATTAGGGACGGCTAGCGCAGATAGCTCTCGTGTAGCTTTGCGCGAAAATTCAAAACAAACAAACAAAACATGCTGTGCCAGCTTAGAAAAGGCATTCACACCAAAACAACTGTTCTTGTAATGGTAACTTGTGTTCTGACCACTACTTTGCTGTATCGTATCTGGCCTGATGAGCCCTGTATTGAACATTGAGCGAAACCTGTCGTCGGCAATGATTATGGCGGACAATAGGATTAACATTAATGTTTTATGACAAATATATGGAGCTGTACTTTGCCAGCTTGCAAAAGGCGTTCATACGATATAATATAGAAGGTTTGAATATTACTATGATTTGGTTCCCTTATTTTATAAAAGGGAGCTTGTTCAGAATTTTAGTTTTTAGTAGGCGTTCATATATATATGTAATATATATATATATATATACATGTAATACCAAAACTCTTTCGTTATTATACCGCTTGAAATAACTCTAGTGTTCACAATGAAGACACCCGTATTAGAAGCAGTTCTTTTATAGAAGAATATTATCAAAACACTCGGCTACTTAATAGTTTCACTGCAATTCATATTTCTTTATGCTGTAGAAAGAACATTATAATGGAGTTTACTGTCATTATATTAACGTTTAGTGTCTCTTATCACATTATAGACACTTTCTTTAAAGATATTCGATGAAGGATAAATTGAAAGCTGTAAAGTTTAACCAAGTTGTTGAAATAAGGTGAAATATAACTTTGAAAATAAAATACATAATATTTTATATTCTATATCTAGCAATTATAATATAAAAGAAAAACAATAAGCAGTAACTTTCGTCAACGAGTTACCAGTTTTTGCGAATACATACTAGGTGGCGCCTAAATGAGTTCTTGCGATTGTCTGACAACTGCTACTAGTAGTAAAGCGTTGGCTATTAGAGAAGGTGGGTAAGTTTGAACTGGAAAACGGAATAAGTTGATTTAACCCAGATCTATAACCCTTACTTACTTACAAGCATTTTTATTGTATTTTAATCTTAATGTTATACGTTGTTTAAGGCTCATAACATAGGTAAATCAATATGTATAATTATACACGAATTTTTCTATAGTATTTTAACGTAAAGTTCGTGTATAATTCTACATAAAAAAAACTTCTTTTCAGACAGTAGGTCATTACTTTGCAAAATTTAAACCATACTGTGTATGTCAATTGTCAGTGCGCATTAGTTTGTAGTTTGCGATATGTATTTGTGAAATAGTGGACAACAAACAATATTTCAGTATAAAATCTTTAATAATAACCAAATTTAGTATAACAATAGATAGCTTACCAGTTGTAACATTATAATTCATTTATGTTTTCGTACCTGTGATAAAAACTGTTAATTAACAGAAACGTCCTAGTCCATCGCCTGGACCTCCAAATTTTGAAACGAACAGAGTTCTTGCCTGTCGTGTTACAACCATGAGTCTAATTAGTGTTTGCACCATAAAAAACACCCTGATTAGATATAATGCCCATTATCCAGGGTATGATTTAGATGAAATAAACATGGTGTTTGATGCAGACGATCCAGTTTTCGCATCAACGTCAAATATGAATCACTGCGGTGAGTTTTACTGACATTAATTTACAATATCATTGTATAACAAATTCAACATCCGCGATTATATAACTGGTAATTCTTGAACACGGAATTGTTATGTTAGATTCATATCTTGGATCAATGATGAATTTTTAAATAGCTTTGATTATAAAATGGTTATAAAGGTCATATATGTTTACATTATAAATTTTGATATTGTTAGTTATGCCAGTTTGCTTATCTGAAGAAACATGATAAGAGTGAATATAGTATGTTAAGATATTTTTTCTATTCCAAGTACTGAGCTATTTATTTAATATTAGTATTTGTTATCACAGTTATTATTCTAGATTTTATACTAACCTGTAGAATGCCCTCGAGCAGGATTTACTCTTAACCTGTAGAATCCCTTCTAGCAGAATTTACTTCTAATCTTTAGAATCCCTTCTAGTAGGATTTACTCTGGAAAAATACGAAAAGAGGTACACATTGTATATATCAAATGTTTCCTAAAAAAGTGATAGGGTAAATTTTCAATATTATCGAAGTCATAGCTTAACAAAAGTTTGTGTGTATGTGTGTGATCGCTTGTAACTGGTGAACCGCTGTACTGATTCTCATCAAATCTTGCAACAAACCTTAGGGCCCTCTGATGAGTGATATAGGTGTTCGGCATTCGGATATGGTCCCCTATGTCACCCCTTTGGTCCCTATGCCTTCTCTGTGCGATGAACGGTTACTTCAACTAGTATCCTATATTAATTCAGCTTGTAGCCTTGTATGTATGTACATATAAATGTCCAGCTAACTCCTCCCACAGTTCTGGAGCTATCAGAACCAATCTTGGCATGTGGACTCAGGGTGGCCCAGGGAGTGTACTTATCTATATGTCGTAGCCCCCTTCAAAGGCTAAATCGTCTCCAGAAGCCACTCAGACACGATGAGTAGGTTTTCAGGGTTATTGAGTCTAAATATGGCATTTGTTTCCTTGCCCCCCCCCTGCCTTGCTATTCCGGGGCGTCATGTTTGAAGATGTATACATACCCCCAATCACAAGCTTACGGGTCCAATCTTGACACACGTGCTCAGGTGCCACAGGAAGGCGTCCTAACTTTTTTGTTTGGTTTTTCATGTTTGTATCCCTTGGGGTTGTTATAGAAGTAACTGGACATAATAGAGGAGCTTGATCGGTATACTAGGGCCTTTGTGAATCATGGCGAGACCTTTGAACCTCACAGTGGTGCGCTATTTTATGCAAATATAGTAAAAGAATGAAAAAAAATACATTCAACTCCTGAATAAATAAAAGCATAGATATGTTTCAGGCAGTACTTTTTATACGAACAGTTCAAAAACTCTTCTATAAACAATATGGAGCGAATCCATTATAATCAATACATTTTATATACTATAAAAGGCGTCATTTACAGAAAGAAGAGAACAGAGTTTCAGTTAGTGACCTGCGTAAAATGGTTATCTTTCACTAGAAACGTCAAAATACTACGTATAAATTATAATGAAACTGTATTAATGTCGTAATTATCACGCATTGTGAAAGTGTAACCAAGTTAGTTTATAATTAGATAATGAAAACGTTCATTATTAGTTAATCTAGTTTACATCATTTGGCTGGATGTGTCTAACCCATCTTTTAATTTCCATTTAGTGAAAGTTGAATATGTTCTTGACCTTTGAAGAGCGGCTGTCCATTGCTGTCTTCTACTGGCTCCAAATTCGTAATTATTGTATTCCGCTTATGATCGTTCCCCTTTTCATCTCGCGCTGGAAATGACGTGTTGATTGGTCAGTGCTTGTGTGTAATATACAAGTTTGTATTATTTGATTTTGATAACGATCATTGATGTTTTTTCCATCTCCACCGAGTCAATCTTCGTTTGAGATGTTGTTGTGACCTGTCTACCTCAAATCATGATCCTAATCAAAGAACAGTGGGGGTGGGGGAGCAGCATGCGGTATAAATAACTTTAACGTGTGGAATTATTTATCTTTTAAGACAGATTTCTATCTTAGGAGAGTTCATTAGTAGTTTTTTGATGCCTTTTAAAAACAAGTTTCAGAGAAGGTTAACTTGGACTACTTTTAGGATTTGGATAGAACTTAGGAATTCTGGGTAATTACTTTACCTAATACTTGGTATTACCCGCTATGTTTCCAAAGAGGATTTTCATTTTACAATTATTTTTTAACCATGAATGTCCATTCCTTTTGAAACAGAAGACAACACCGATACGATATATATATATATATATATGTATCGTACATATATAATATCAAAGGAGATTTGATTTTCCAGTTTTTTTTTTCCTCTCACGAATCTTGATTCCGTTTGAAACTGTTGAAAAATATGTACAGGGTGTCCATAAATTATCTGACCCATTTTAAAAATTAATAACTTCAAAAATATTATAGATAGAACATTTCGGTTTTATTTAACTTGACGAACAACTCATAAAGATTTTTTTTGTCTTGGTATACTTCCACATGTGCACCGTGTGCTTCTAAGAAACGCCTCTACCACACGATCAACTGTTGCATCAGATAAACTTGGACGTACAGATTCCCTTTATTGTAACAAAATACCAGTTGTTATGAATTTTTCAAACCAAGCTTTTATGCTATTGTTACGTCTCCGGTTGTTAATTAATTTT